ACATTTAATCTGATGACTGCTGGTGTCTCGTTTTTGTTGCAGTGATGATCGATTGATTAGTAAGAATGTGCAACTTTATGATTGGATCCCAAAAAACTAGTCATCACACACAGTACTGTGTAAAAGTCTTGAGCCACCCATTATTCTTTATGTCTTGGCAGGTGGATGATTTATTGAAACATACATGGATATACATATACAGCATATACAGTAAAAACAGAGCTTGTACTATTCTAACGAGCTTCAGAGTGAATATTAAGTATGAGTGCCTTTATTCTTCAGCTCTATGTCAGCTCTGTGAGGATCTTCAGGATCAGTTCTCCAGGGTTCATGAAGGATGTTCAAAGCTCTTCTTTGGATGTTTCTGCCTTTTGTTCTGTTCTCTGTCAGGATGATCTCACAGAGATCTGGCTCTGGGGAGGCCCATCCATCACTGATAGTGTTCCTCTATATGTTCTTCTATCCAGGTATGATTTAATTATTAGCAGATGGGTTCCAGAAGGTGGATCAAACTGATTGTATTTTTCTTCCTTCATAATTCATCTGTTTATCAAAGATCTCCAACATCACAGACTGACCTGCAGCTGAGACCATGACAGAGCAATCTGTCTGAGAGACTGCAGTCAGTCCAAATTGGGCTGCAACTGTTTGGAGATGGGTTGCCTCCCACCAGACAATCTGTGCAGTTACTCTGCAGTCAAAGACGCTGAGGGTGTTACACGATCAACATCTGGGCCTTTAGTTGGTTTAGTTGGTTGCTGGAACTACTTGCAGTTCGTCATCAAACAAAAAAGAAAATTCAGTGTAATCACGGGACAACCACAGATTTATCTTTCCCTTGTCACAAGGAGGTTGTCATCCTATTTTACTCTAATCCAGGGGTGGGGGACTCTAAATTGCGTCCTCAACATGTCTTGAAGTTCTCCAGAGGCCTGGTAATGAACTGATCATTTGATTCCGGTGTGTTGACCCAGGGTGATATCTAAAACCTGCAGGAGACGGGGCCTTGACCCCTGCTCTAGTCCAATATGATAAAAGCTAGCTTGGCTCGTACTAACTGCTAAATGGAAGGAATCCGGTCTTTGGGTGATGACGTGATGAATCCTGCTTCCGGGCCCAAACTACTCTGTGTTTAATAAGGCTTTTGTGTTTTTTACATGTTTTAATGCTTTGTATCTTGTTCTATTTAATCTCAACAAGCCCTAAAAACAGTCAGTGATCACTGTCGGCCTCTCTCGGGTTTTATTACCACTAATCATTTTAAAGCTTAGTTTTCAAAACTTTATGATGTAACTACAGCCCAGCCCATGCAGCAGTATATTAATAACTAATCTGGTATTGTGGATGGATTATCTCAGCTGTTCTCCCGACTGAAGTTCGGTCCGTTTACAGCATCCTGCCATGCGATTGCATTTGTCCCGAACCTTCGGGAACACTCACGTTAACTTTGAGTGGAAAAAAGTTAGCGTTCATCGTCTAGCTTCAGTTTATATTATGCTAACATATCTGTGTCGCTAGCGATCAAGTAGCACATCATTATATACCAGCTAACCCAATTTCAGTAACCCTACAAACGTCACTGCTGTTTAGTTTCCTGTCTTCATTTATGTTGGAAGTGATAGCAGAGCTGTACGTTTTAATTTGTTTTGCAAATCTCTCATTCAGAACATGGTATATTTTATTAACAGATAAGTTACAGAATAGAGTAATCTCAAGAAACATCCTTCAGCTACTTTTTTACTTTTACTTGAGTAAATGAGTTGAGTCAGTACTTCAACTTTTAGTGGATATTTTTTAACAGTAGTTTATGACTTTTACTTAACTAATGTCTGTACTTTTGCCAGCTCTGATACTCAAATGGGAATGTCTGACTAGTTGATGGTATAAATTTCTGGCTTCAGACTAGTTTTTGCACCTTTACTGACAGTATAGTTTCTCGGTTAACATCTCTCACTTACTTTTGCTCTCTGCCTTTCAACCTGCATTAAAGAGAACACCTCAAAGGCAAAGTATGGTTTAATGCCACTCAAGCAGATCAATACTAAAACTCCATCCCTTTTAATTACATTAATTAAATTTCATGCAGCAGTTCATTCACTTTAGTTAATTTGTGTGAAAAAAAGCAAAGTAGAAAGTTGTGATTTAACATAAACTTTATTTTACAGTTATTACATAGGAGAGAGAGAGAGATTCTTAAGCATTCTGGGCCTGAGCTGCCATCATTCGCTCTTTTTGCTTCATTAGACATTTCCTTGCACTGGCATAAGCTCCCAGGTCTCCATCTACAAAGAGGAAAGATGACAATTTAATACATGAAGCGACTGTGCAGCAAACAGAAAAGCTCTCCAAAAATAGGAAATCACAATATGCAAAAACCCAAATCTCCTTTACATAGGAAAGAAAAGCAAACTCACAAACTCAAAGCTTGGAAATAATGACACTTAATGATAAATGTTGTGTGCCATGACTGAACACTTATTGCTTATAAACTGCACACATCAAAGCTCTGGAACAGCTTCAGTACTTACAGCGTGACTGGAAGTTCTTTGTTCACCTCATTGAACTGCTGAATTTCCTTAGCACAGTTCTGCTGTAGCTGTGTCCTTCTCTCTGCTGGCAGGCCCTCAAACGCTCCTGGATCACTTCACGATCTCCTGATCCACTTTGCTGAGGGACAGACAGAAACACAGGGGATTTTCATTTCTGTCAAAGTCTGTCAGACAGACTTGCCATCTTCTGATCTCTCCCAAATTGTTATGTGTCTTTCAGTCTGGCTGACTGGAATGCTCTAATGCTGTTTGAGACCGTTTCTGAAGCCAGCAAGCACCATACTGGCAGTTTGCTTTGTGTCATTGGTGCTACAAGGTGAACTGCTGCCCCTATTCATGTTACTGCACTCTGGTGAACACAGTTTTTAATGTTCCCTATATTTGGCTACACTCATGCAATCCCTGCAAAAAAATCTCCAAGCATGCAGAAGGTGTGTTGGCCAGGTGATGAGCTGTAGGTATTGCTCTGCCAGAATGCTGGGACTTCTGGCCAGTTACATTTTTGCTTCATGCTCTGAGTCATTTAGAGCATCAACACAAATGCAAAGAAGTCTGTCAGTATCCTGTCACATAAAGAAAAAGCCCAGAGCCTCATGAAAGATCCACCCCACCCCAGACACTGTTTTAACTTTTCAGAACAGTAGAAACAGTGAGAAAAAACAAAACAAAACTTTTTTTTAACCAAAGCTATTTTGTAAAGTGAAAACAAATCGTGCAATAATGGCTGTAGAACATGACATGTCCTGTTTTGGCATGATCTATGTTTTACTTAGACATTTTATAAATTCTATGTTTACTTTACAGGCTTGTACATATATTATAGGCTTTATACAGTTGTTTGTTTTTTAAATAGACATATTGTAAGCCTCTTGTCCCCCAGAGCTTTGTATTGAGAGGACATTGCATGCAATTTCACTATATATTCATTCATCTATAATATGAACCAAAGCCTAACCTTATTTTTATTTATTAATACAGTACCATTTTCTTATAAATGAATTTGAGCTTTGTAAATATTAACTCGGTTACTTTCCACCCTACTGATTAAAAAAACAAAAAACAAAACAAAACAGTGTATGAGACTTTTTTGATGTCAGAGGGGCATGCTAACAAAACTTGTACTTCCTGACCTGCACCATGTTATTTATTCAAAATGCCCACAAACCTTTTGACAAAGATGAAGCCCAAAAGATGAGGTTGTGATGTGAGTATTTTGCGTTTTTGTAGACGATTTTACCTAGGCATAATGCAATATGTGTTTGATTCATTAACAGTGTGTGTTACACTTGTGCCTCCACTCAAGTTGAAACATCTTTAGGACTTTAATGCACAATAAATGATGTCTGTATATATTTGCAAAACGCATTTCAGTTGCTTAAATTTAATTAGTTTACAAAACAACTCTAAAACTATGTTTTCCTTTGTCATTAACATTACAAAGTGCAGACTGGTGGACAAAAAATGCATTCATGTGAAAAGTTTTCATCCCTCTGAATCTCACTCGTATGTTACTATACGTCTCCTCCACTGCATCTCTGCCTCGTAGTAGCAGGGGTAATCTCCCTCTTTGCACTCCGTCAGGTCAGGAACACGACGGAACTTCTGGTGGTAGTACACGATCTTGTTTTTAGCCGAATACTGTCAACAGCATCTGGGCGAAGGAAGGAAAGGGTTCAAAGCTCATATAAACTCAGTCCAGGCTGAGTAGGTTGTACATTGCTAGCATAAACATCTAACTAACCGCGGACTTCTACCGCAAAACCTGACATCTACTCGCACAAAACAAAGCTGTAACTTATCTAGATTTAAACAATTCAGTGGAAGAAAAAGCACCACTTTAAATAAACCAGAATGCGTATACAGCGTCCTCAGTTCTTGTGCTATGTTGTAGAGCTACCCTGTTAGCCGAGTTAGCTTCCAGTTACCTCTAAATGTGGTGACAGGCAGGTCCACGGAATAATAGAAGAGCTTAGACAAAATCAGAGCTGGGTTTGGCAGTGCTGTTTGTTTGTCCACAACCGGAGTCTGCCGAGGAGGCTCTGGGTATGCCCCTTTATCGTAGTCTGCAGGCATTTTTGTACCCTGTTTTGAACAAAACTGAAAAACCCCTACAATTCGACCTCGACAGGTCTCCTTTGGACGGAGCGCATGCGCAGGAAAAGCAACATAATGGCGAATTAGAGGTCAGCAAATAAAAGCGTTCGAACGTCTTTATGCCAGTCTTTATTACTGAATTAGAATTATTACAAATAAAAAACAACTTAAAAGAAAACTTGGAACGAGCTCACTTCAGTTTTCGTAAAATATGAAGGTCGAAGGGTAAAGGTTGCAGGTTGGACTGTTGTACTAGTTAGCTACAGTAGGGGGCGGCAGGGAGCCGACTAATAACTTAAGTTGGAATGCAAAAGTCTTGAACCGCCCTTTTTTTCCTCAATATTTTGCTAGGAAAATGGGAAATTGTGCTTGAAAGTACTTGTACTCATCAGTACTTGGCATGACAACTTTTATTCTTTAATATAGTCTGAACTTTTTTAGGTAAGCTTTCTATCCAGTCTATTGTGATGAACCAAGATTTGAACCTGACTTGAACAAGAATTTCAAATTTGGATTCTATGCTATTCCAGACCTGTTGCCACAGATTTTTAGTGCAGTTCTCGTGTGTTTCAGCATACCTCAACCTTTTTACCTTCACTAAAAATAGCCTCTTGACAGTCACCCCTTCCACTGAGACCATTTCAGCAAAAAGTAGATGGGTCAGCTGAAGGGCCAGATGCATCTCTCAGGTCCTGTGTCAGCTCTTTACTGGATCCCCTTGCCCCCTCAATTTCTTAACGACATGAGTTTCTGAATTCATCGGTGTGGAGTGGTCCTGGGCTGAAAAAACTAAATCAGGTCAACATTGGTCACATGATCACATGGCAGCGAAGACTTTCTTCCTCCTCCTCTCCTTTCTTGGTTGTACGGTTCCTGTCCACTAGGCCTCCCCACCACCTCAGACCTCTGACATTACCATCTTCCCTCCTCCTATCTGGTCAGGACTTGGCAGAGATCGTCTTGTTTGAAAGCAAATACGTCCCCTCATCTGGGCCAAACACCAAATTAGAGCCCTGTGTGTCATCTTATGTATGACTCTAGCATCTGCACTGGTTTCTGTCTCTTTCTATCTGTCGCTGGGACAATCCGCAGACATGGTCAGTGCTCCTTGTGTTTTGGTTGTTTTCTTCTTTAGAGGATAGTTAAAGCTGCACTTTTTGGACTGTCTTTGCCTCCTACATGTGTGCATGTGTGTGTGTGTGAGATGATTTATCACTTTCTTTGACCTTTTGAATTTATAAGAGTGTATGAAGCACACTGAAATCTAGTAATGGCTACGCTTAGGAGAGCACGTGGAACACTGCGCTGGTGACCTTTTTTTTCCTATAACAAGACACCATCGTTTCAAGTTTTCTTAATTATTTTATTTGGATTTCTGAATTACAGATATGAAACAGAAACAGAGTGAAGCAGAAGCACATGGCCTGAATACAAAGGCAACAGATTGGAAGATCATGACAGATGACTCTTTTTGTGTTCCGCTAACTTAACACTGTTAAAGATTTGGAGGACGTTAAAGAAAATGAGGAAATGATCACAAACAGTTGCTCAAAAACATGACTGATGTCACCATATAATACAGTAACTAAAATGACTAATTTGTTTTGCTATGTAAATGTGTGCTACACTTTTAGTATAAAGTGATGTGGGTGTCTCCCACCACTGATGTGTACATTCGAATGTACACATCTGGACACGTGTGGACATCAGCTTATGTTGTACACTGGCAGTGTGTTTATGACCTGACAAATAATCAAAAGGAGATGGTAACTGTAAAAATGAAAGTAACACTAAACACCCATGGGTTATCTAAATGTCATCAATTTGGGCGTGCACCAACTCCATTGTGGCTTTTCAGTCTCATCGCAAATTCCATGCTCCTCGCCACGGGCACATGGGGTTCCTGCCTTGCAAGCGAAGCAAGAAGCACAGGGGGAGGGTGCGTTCATGGCCCAAAGATAACCCCAGCCATCCCGTCCACCTCACTGCCTTCCTGGGATATAAGGCGGGCATGACCCACACGCTGAGAGAGGTGCACCGCACTGCCCTCAGTATGTAAACATTGATGGATGCAAGACTTTAGACAATCTGTTATCTATTTAGTATATAGCATGCATTATTTTAGAGATGTAAATAGAAATTGAAAGTTGAATAAAATCAAATGATACAGAAAGAATAAACTGGGCATTGCTCAGGCTGCATTCAAGCTGTAAGTGTTAAAAACTGAAAGCTGCTTTGATTTTGTGCTGAGGCTAAACTTAAAATGCATTCCTTCACGTCTCTTTTGTTTTGCATATTTTTACCTTTTTATCACCTTCTGTTTACTTGCTGCATGTTTCACTGACTTGAATCTGTCAGTTTTCCTAGCAGGATCTGCCTCCTTCTGTCTTCCACAGAGCAATCAAAGCGAGAAGAAGTTGAGGCGGTGACCATCATCGAGACTCCGCCTGTCATTGTGGTGGGTGTTGTGGGATACATCAAAACGATCCGTGGTTTGCGCTCCCTGAAAACCATCTTTGCTGAGCACCTGAGTGACGAGTGCAAGCGCAGATTTTATAAAAACTGGTACGCGTGTGTGATCATTTAAAGCTCTCCTGTGCATAGAAGTAATTGACCCGCACATACGGTCTTGTCACACTGTTGTTCCTTCAATATGTGCTGAGCTTTTCTGTGTTTCAGGTATAAGAGCAAGAAGAAGGCCTTCACTAAGTATGCTAAGAAGTGGCAGGACGAGACAGGCAAGAAGCAGCTTAACAAAGACTTCAATGCCATGAAGAAGTACTGTTCAGTCATCAGGGTTATTGTTCACTCACAGGTAGGTTCTAAAATCACCATCCTGCATCACATTAGCTCCGTTTTTAGTTTTCCATCTGATTTCATCGGCTAGTATAATCACTGATATTTATTTACTTGATCTCCTTCTGTTAAATCTCTCCCATGGAGGGGGCAGAGGTGTCAGAGTTATGCAACTGCCCACATGCAACAGAGACAAAAGCCTCCAAATCCCCAAACTCTTGGCTGTCGGTAGCTGGATGGCTTTGACTACAACGATCACCCTGTGGGGAGCACTGGAGGGCAGTTTCAAATAGCAGTTTATAAATAATTTTCACGGGGGATGAAGGCCACTCACAGAGTCTTTGCCTTTATGTTGGCAGCATGAAGCCAAAGATCAGCCAAGATTTCAGTTCTTAAAATCCTGCTAAGATCAAGCCTCCTCAGCTCATGAAAAAAAACATCAACATGCACATTTAAATATCAGAGTTGTTCCAAGTGACTGGTGTTACATCTGAGAGTTCAAACATGGCCACATGCTGAATAATAAATCTAATTATAGTAACTTGAAAGCAAGATGCTTTTCAGTATGCTTCTCAAGCTCTGCACTTAACAACATAGTTGTTTTAGACTTGGGAGCTGCTTCTGTTTGCAGCTTGCAGGCTTCCCTAATTACTTTCCATCTGCCTCCAGATGCGACTGTTGCCCTTAAGGCAGAAAAAGCTCACGTCGTGGAGGTGCAGCTAAATGGGGGTACCATCTCGGACAAGGTGGACTGGGCGAAGGAGCACCTGGAGCAGGCTGTGCCCGTATCTGCCGTCTTCTACCAGGATGAGATGATTGATGTCATCGGTGTCACGAAAGGTCACGGCTTCAAAGGTAGGAAATGTGCTGTGGCAGCCCCAGGCGTTGAAAAGTTTAATGAGTAATAAACCGGAAGGTCCAACCATGACTTTTACGTCTTTGGGCTGATAGGCGTGACAAGCCGCTGGCACACAAAGAAACTCCCACGGAAGACTCACAAGGGTTTGAGGAAGGTAGCTTGTATTGGAGCCTGGCATCCTGCCCGTGTGGGCTACACTGAAGCTCGCGCTGGTCAGAAAGGCTATCATCACCGCACTGAGATCAACAAAAAGGTTTATAGCTTAACAACTTACTATATTATATTTGCACACACCTAGTCAATGTTTGTTGGTTGCCTAAACATCTCTTTAAATAAGGAGTATTATGAATTATTATTATTAGTATGAGGGGTTTTCCATAATTGAAATCTTGATGTCCTCTTTTGTTTTTTCAGATCTACCGTATTGGTAGGGGTCTTCACATCCAGGATGGAAAAGTGATCCGGAACAATGCGTCTACTAACTATGACATCAGCCAGAAAACCATTACCCCCATAGTACTCCCAGCTTTGTGTTACAGTATCATATTGTGCATGAAAGTTTTCTCGTATCCAAAGTCGATATTTATAATGTATCAACAGTAATATAAAATGAAGAGTTTGCATCAGGTGAGATATTTTAACCTTTATTACTACATTTATGTCATAGGGAGGCTTTCCTCGCTATGGTGAAGTGAATAATGACTTTGTCATGGTGAAAGGCTGCATTATCGGGGCTAAAAAACGTGTCCTCACCCTTCGAAAGGTAGGGTGAGGAATTTAAAGTCTTCAGCTCTTACAGGTATCATTCGTGTAAGTGTAGTTTAACGTTTTTGGCTGCTCCTCCTCACAGTCTTTACTCACGCACACATCGCGCAAGTCCAAGGAAGGCATCGAGCTCAAGTTCATTGACACCACTTCCAAATTTGGCCATGGGCGCTTCCAGACAGCCCAGGAGAAGAGAGCATTTATGGTGAGTGTGAAAAAACAACCATAAAGAAAAAAACAACAACCAAAAAAACCCAACTGAATACCAGGAAGCAAAGATTTTGATCGAGTGAGGCAAAATAACAGCACAATATGATTCAAATGTTCAAACTATCCACTGATGACATAATCTGTAATTATCCTGCTGTGTTTTAACTCCCGACCTCTTGTTTACCTGCAGGGGCCTCTGAAGAAAGACACCCAAAAAACAATGCCAGGTCCTCTGCCAGAGGAGGCCTGAAAGTGTGGATTATAAACCCTACAAAACAATAAAATGTGTAAGTTATACTTGAATTTTGTGTTTTAACTGCATTTGTGTTTCTAATCAATAAGGAACACACGAGGAAAGTTTTCATCAAATTTTATTCTTTCCTGGATGGATGGACGGATGGATGATAGTTGGCTCAAACAGCATTCCCTTTTAAAAATACATCAATA